TTTTTATTATATAATCTAAATTATGTTCTATTCCGTAGTAGATCAAATCGGTATTTGGTCAGCCTATAGTTCACCATATTAACCGATTTTTATAACAAATTGATAAAAATTATAAAAAATTTTTATAATATAATGTAACTAATTTTTATATAAAATAGATGTTTACTTATCATTATATATTTTGAACTAGATATTTTTATTAACTGTTGTTTATTTGTTATTTTCATAATTTAACAGCTTAAATAATATAAAAAATAAAAATATCGAATTAAAAGATCTAATCATAGAAATGCAAAAAAATACAAATTTTTATGTTAATATTTCAGTAATTTTAATATTTTATTAAAAGTAGGAGTTGTTTTCACCTCCATTCATTATTGAACAAACTATAAATCTATTAATACACTGTCGTAATTGATATATTATATTTATAGTTGTGACATTGATATATATATATATATATATATATATATATATAAATTATAATATAGAAATAAATCTAATAAATAACGGCTTAATTAGTTCTTTCTTTACATCATCTCTATAATATAAACATTATTCTATATTTAAATTCTAGATTTGTGAAATAGAAAAATATCCACCAACTAACATCAACGTATATGTATTGTTTGTATAATAAGTATAGATGTAATTTTTCTTGCTTTATTAGTAAAAAATTTCATTCTTTTATTAGTTAAGCGGGGGTCATGCAGTAAAAAAGAAAAAAGTACTTAACCTCAATATTTTCATCAACACATAAAAGTAATCGTACACCCATCCGCGCATGTATACATGTACATAAAAATCAATAAACCTCTGGCATAAAAACCAAGGTCACGAGACACTATATATCATACTACACATTTAGATTAAATATCGTATTGCAAATATTACACATAAATCAGTGACGAAAATAAGAAGGAATATAAATACTTTTTTGAAATTCATGCTTAATAATACAAGATACATCAAAATGTCTTATACACTTATTTGTTTTAATTTTTCTTAGTCTTTTTAAAATTGTGCTTATTAAAAATATAGATGTGATAATTTTTTCTCATAATTTTCATTCATTTCTATTATTATGTGAAATGAAGTCTCCTTTGGATAAAAATAGTTTTCAAAACGTTTTATTTTATATCCAATATAAATATTAATAACTTCAATCATATTGTAAAAATTTTATTTTTATTTTAAATTAATTAAATTACATCTATTTAATTAAGGATATAATTTTATCATTATAAATAAAAAGCAAAAAAACTAGAATACAATGAAAAGATATAGTAGGGTAAAATCGCATATTTTGTCTTAATAAAATAATGGCCTTCATAAATGAATAAAATTTTTAAACCTGAATATTTAAATTAAATTTATTAATCATAAATATTTTTAATTTATTAAAACTTAAATATTAGTCTAATGTTGAGGTGAATAATATTTAAAAATAATATATTATTATTTCAATACCTTAATTTGCTCTACTTCTCTAAATTATTTATTTGCAATCGCATTTCCATTACTGTTTAAAAATATGTTCCCTTATTTCTTTCTATTTAAGTTTGAATATTAATATTATTTATTCAATTCATAATAAGATAAGCATAAAAATTGTAATTTATTTAGTTTTTGGTTATTGTATCAAAAGAAATTTTTTATATGTTATCATGATGAAGCTCACTTTATTACTCTTTTAATATATTATTTCCATGCTATAATACGATCATATGTTGTTTTTTAATGATAACCACATTTTCTCAAGAATGTCAATGAACATTATTTATAAATTATCTGAAATAAAGTTGACATAAAATTATTGAAATATAAATTTTTTCACAATATTAATCATTATTTTACATCGTTGATTTATGATTGTTAAAGTGTAAGAGTATTCAATTGATTTCTATTCTAATAGGGATAAAAAATTGATGGTCTCGAATAGTTGATTTATTCTTACTCGAGAGACTAAAAAATAATTGCATAATTTTTTAAATTATTTCTAGTCTACTTACTTTCTCACAAAGGTATTATGTGGATCATTATTATTTACATTCAAACAAATTTTAATAAAATGTGGTATTACTGTATTATATTTTTTAATGTCGAATTCAACTTTTATATGACTCATAACGAAACTGTTAAAATAGTTTTGAATAGTCTATTTTTTCATTTTTTCATTTTTTCAAGAAGTTTTTAAATACTTTTCTTTAATAGCTTATTTTATTAAAATGATTTATAAAGAAATATACTTTTTATAGTATAATGAATTGATATAAATAAGAAAACAAAGCATTATAATTTAAATGCATAATCTATAATGATTAAGAAAACGTTTATATAATGTTAGAGCTGATTAACTTAAAGTAGATTTATTCATCTATGTATTTATATATATATATATATATATATATATATATATATATATATATATATATATATATATTAACAAGTAAATCTTTCAGTTATATTTATGATTGATTAAAATTATATTTCATAAAAAAATAATGAAAATGAAATGAAAAATGAAATATTATTTTTCTTTTTAAGTATTGACTTCTCTGAATTTAATGACAATGACTACTATGGGTAAAAGCTAACAAATATTTCGGAAACTTTTGCGACTGTTGGCTGAGACAAAAACGAGGAAACCACATGGTAAATAAAAATCAAATAGTCTCACACATTATTTTCTTACTTTTACCAGTATGATACACCACAAAAAATTCAGTATTATAGAAACATATTAAAAAATACTGATGCAAATAAATATATATGGTATTTTTAAATTGCAAAATTTACTCTTTACGTCTGGTATAATTGAAATTCATTAACAATGAGTACATTTTTAATAACTTCAATATATATATATATATTCAAAGCTTTGTAATCATGTATTTCGTAATTATAAACAATAGTATTTAATATTTTGTAATGTTAAAAACTATATTTACAATGAAAGATAACTGTAAATATTATTTTGAATGTATTATTATGTCTTTTGATGTATGTAATTAAATGCATATTTTGTTTACAAAAACATAGATAATGAAAATATAAAAATAGTTCTGTTCTGCAGAAAGATTGTCAAAAAGATTGTTTATACAAACTTATATAAAAACTCGTAATTTTAATTCATAAATAAATAATAATACTCATATCGCTTACAAATAATAATTGAAATAAATTTGGTCAAATTTTTTTTGCAATTGTAACTAAATGCCAAATGAGATATTTAGCCTAAGCGATTAAATCGATAAAATTTCTAAGAAACTTAAACAGATATGCACATATATTTTCTTGATATTTTAGCTATTCAATATTAAAAAAACATAGATGTACATTTCTGTATATGCATATAATATAATTTAACATTTTTCGCATTTACTAATATTGTATTGTATAATTACGTACAAAAATATACCTAAATTTTTTAAATAAAATATAAATAAAATAACGATTTGAACGTTATAGAGCTGATAAACAATTTATCATATAAAAATAAATAAAAACTAATTGTGATGAAATTTAAATACGAAAATATCTGTTGAATTAAGACTTTTTCTTGTACAAAGATGAATGTAATTTATTAAAGTACTAAAAAAAAATTTTTTTTTATCAATAACAACAAATAAATAATAATAATAAATGTTTGTACACACGACAAGATATTCGTTATATATTTAGAAATAGTATATAAATATATGTATATATATATATATATATTTATTTATTTATTCATTTATATGTAAGTAACTATTTATTATAAATTAACAATTAATTATATATGTTTGTTAAAATATAGTAAAATATCTATAATTTGTTATGATTCTATTTTCATTATGATTTCATTTTATGATTTTATATTCAGTTAAATTAAATTATTTTATTTTTCAAATGACTTTATTATTTAAAGAAATTCTATAATTCATATAATACAAAAATATAAATATAAACATAAATATAAACATTTAATAAAAAATATAAAGAACTAATTAAATTATTTAATGATTACATATTTACTGCCGTTTTTAATCAAATCAGTTATAGAATAAAATATGAAAAAGTTATTAGGTATTAACATGTATTTAGTAATAGTATAATTTAAATAGTAGAACTAAATAAATCATCATACTTTTATAATAAATAATTTTAATAGCTCTAAATACCTTAACGAAACTTTTCTAAACATGTCATAAAAAGAGTACAGGCCTGTAAAAATAATTTATATATTAATTGCATTTATTTTTATTAGTAATCATATTTGTATTAATATAAAATCGCGTAAGCTAACTCGATAGTTACAATATGATTGTAGTATAAGAATAAGAAAAATAAATGGAATGTATAAGCTCACCTTTAATTGATTAATGCATTTTTGGGCGTTGTGTACGTTTTTGAGATTACTTGAACTTGCTTCCGTCTTTCTTTCCACGCCTAACATATAATTAATAGCTATTTTCTTTATTCGCGAGTTATGAGCTTTTTCAATTTTATAACCATGTAAGTATTTTTCCTCTCGATGTTTCAGCTGTTAATACGTATGCATACATGTATTACAGATTTTAATGGCTCTCTGTATCTATTCTTTTGTGCACATACGTATGTACGTTTGTATACACATGTATGTATATATGTACATATGCAAGAAGGGATGAGTATTTGCAGAGAAGTACGTACGATTACAGGTACGCACCTATATATGCAGAAATATAACATATGTACGTACGTCTGTACATGTTTTCAACGTAATTGCGGGTTTGTATACAAACCTGCTACACTCTCTTTATTTTTAGGTTTTTGTTTCTTCTTCTTTTTCTTTTTTTAGTTCTTTGCCTTAGTGTCTTTAATTATTTTATTTAATTTATAAGTAAAATAAAACAAGATTGCATTTTTGTTGAGAATTTTTTGCATTATGAAGGACAAGATCTATTAAAAGAAACAGATGAAGAAAAGAAGAAGATGTAGTAGTTATATAAATAGATATTTTTTTAAATACGTACGGTTATTGCAATCTTCTATTTAAGTTACTTCTATTTCTTCTTTCCTTTATTCTGCAATAGTCAACGTTTACGTACAAGCAAAATCCAGTATAAAATGTTCTCCAATTCAAAGCAAAATTTAAGGGGTAAAGAAGAAAATGATTGAGGAAAAGGAGAATGATAGTAGAAGGGAGATGAGGGTTAGCCCAGAGCTTGAAAAAAATAGAGAGAAAAAGAGCTGCTGCCTGTCTCCGCCACGAAAGTACGTGCGAAGTTTCGTGGCAAACGATCGTGGGTTGAGTGAATCCGAGTTCAAACTAAAGGCATTCGAGGCTCGGCCAGTCGTCGTCGGCACGCCAGCAAGCGAGCGGCACCCGCGTGAGGGTACGATCGATTTGTGAAGGCGCGCGCGCCTTTCTCTACTCCTGTCCCTCGCTCCCCCAATAACTCCAGGGGTTGCGCGCGACGAATAATATGGACGAGGACGCCGCGCATCTGTGACGACTCCAGAGGGCGGGGCGTTTTGTTCTGTCTTTGTTTATCTTCTATATACTTACACTTCTGTAGTCATTATTCCTACTCAACCTATCCCTATATCTTACTTTCTCTTTATTTTATACATCTATGTCCCATTCCCTCTCTCTCTCCCTCTTGCTTTGTCTCTGCTTTTCTCATTTTCTCTTTTGTTCTTTTGTTGTGATTCATTTTCTTACTTACTCATACTCTGCCTCCACAGTTCCTTCCCTATCATCTTATTTATCTTTATATATATATATATATATATATATATATACATATAAGTACATATTTATTTTCATAATTTCTCTTTCGTTAAATTTAATGTACATTATTATTGTTTTTATGATTTTTCGTAACCATTATGGATTGTATTTTCTTATATAATCAATTATATATATTCCCTCCTGTAATCTTTTCCCTCTAGGATAGAAATTTTTAATTTTTTACAATAGTAATCAATTTTTACTCCTATTTACTTTCTAACTTCCTTATCTTAATTTTATCATACTTCATTCTAAAATATTATATATATATATATATATATATATATATATTGTTCTTTTTATAATACATTCTTTAGAATTTATACCGTACTCTACCACAAACTATAAGTATTGCATATTTGACATTTATTTGTATTTCTCTACTCGATTTAACACAGCTATTTTTATTAATATTCTTTTTCATTAAACTATTATGTCAAATTCTTTTTTTAATTTTCTTCATGTTCAACTTCATTTTTATCTATAGACTGCATTTATTTTACATAATTATATATACAACATTGTGTCGATAATTCTCATATTTCTTTTTATCATCAATTTTAATTTCATCGATTAAATATAATACTCTTCTTTATAGTTATCTACTTGAGTTTATCTTGTATTTCATATTTCATTTTTCACCTTTTAATTCAATAATATATTTTTCTATTATTTTTTTATTTATTTTCATTTATTTTTTCAAATTGAAGTATGTACTGCCAGAAGGTATTTCCTTCAATTATAACAATATTTAAGTTATCAAAATTAGAACTTTATAAATATATTTTTATATTTCATTTATATGCTATATATTATCTCTCATATGTAGTCATCTATATTATTTTGACTGATTTAAATTATAATATCTTTATTTTTTATTGTAACCAGTTTAGTTCTGAAAACTTTAATAATTCCTAGTTTCCAATACTATCCTAAATAATCTTAATTGATTATATTTTCTCGTATTATATTTATTTTTACAAACTTTCTTTTAGCAAATATAAGAAAATAAATGTCAAATACGTAGTATTTTTAAATTCTTCAAAAAATATGTTACAACAAGATAGTTTTAAAAATGATAATGTTAAAGATTTTAAGATGAAAATTTTTATAAAAATTTTTTAATCAAGAAAAACAAAAATCTATTCAAGTAATATATTATAATTAAATTTACGTACATAAAACATAGTTTAAAATTTATATATCATTTGTTTCTTCATATCATTTATCTATGCGTAAAGCATAGGTCACATATAAGATTTCGTATAGATTAATAGAATTATAATGTAATTTAAATAAACACTGTTAATTAGAAACATATATTATTCTATTGATAATAAATATAAAATTATGTTTCACCTGTTGAAACCATTACTAAAATAATTTTAACTATTATAATACTATAGTTAGATATAAATTATAAACGAAACCTTATCACAGTATTTAGTAAATATTGAAAAAATTTATTATGAAGTTATGATTCAGTTATGGTATATATATTTTAAATTTCTAATGATATTAAATTATCAATAATCTTTTTCACTTAGTTAAAATTGTATATAAACATATTTATAATATAAATAAAGTTTAAATTTTTAATAAATTAATATATATTTATTAATACTTTAATGAAAATATTTCATTCTTTTATTATAAAGCTAATTTATTTGTATTTTGAAAAATGAATAATATTATTTTAATTCAAAAAATTGTAAAGTATAAAACGTACAAATTTCAAATACGTAATTTATTCTAAATACATTAAGTAATATAATCAATTTAATAAATTATTTACACTATAAGTAACGTAACCACATGTTGTTTTATTTCTGTTCAAGACAGGTGTATAATATAGAGAAAAATCTAAAAGACAATAGTATTGTTTTGAATTTTATAAAATTTCTGAAAGGCTAGGAGTGTCAATGACAGATAAACCGGCATATGCAAAATTACGACAGGTGCGAATTTTCGTGACACCATCTACATACGAGTGTTGATACGACGCATACGAAAAACGGAAATTACGCGATTTCCTCGCTTTGTAACTGCGGCGGAATTGAATTTGAGATTCGTCTCACCAAATGGATTGTACATCTCGTATATTTAACTTTCGTCTAATTTCCTCCATTTCATTTTAAATATATTTTACTATTTGTTTTTCAGTTTCTCCCTCTTAATCGATATAGCTATTCACCTATCTGTCTATTCTAATATCATTCTCACTTTTTTTTTTAAGATCTTCAATTTTTTTTAATTCTAATCGTTTGGAATTCTGAATTTTATTTCTTAGTTTTTTGGGTATTAATTTAAATAAAAATATTTGTATTACAATTTAATAAGACCTGTGCGATGATGTTTTTATATTTTAAAATCGATAATCGAAAGTAAAGTTAATATATTATTTAAACTTTCTAATTTAGTCTTTACAAAATAAAAGGAAAACAATATCAAAATCGAAAAAAACATTAGGCTTTATTATATGAATCTTTAATAAATTATTTTCAAAGTTACTCACTATATATATGTATATATATATAGTGAGTAAATAAACAAAAAAAAATAAAAAAAAAATAATGTAGTGACTGAACCGCAGACAAAATGAAAATAGTTTCTTTCTATCTTTATCTCACATGTTTGCATCAACGGACAGTCAGAAACGGGATCAAATATTCCCGAATTTTCCGAATTGTATACATATATTTGTTTTACATGTCATTTATCTGTACAAAAAATAAAAAACGAGAAAAAAATGAATGTAATATTACCCTCGTCTAACTAAAATGAAAAACAAGTAAATGTCAAAAATTGATAATAAGGAAATTTATGGGCGATTAAAATATTTTTTCTAACATATTTATTTGAAAATTTATACTTCAAAATATATTTTTACTTATCGAATACTCTAAATAAATTATAGTAATTAATTAGGATTAAAAATTAAAATAAAATATTGTTTTGAATGTTTATTATGTGATGAATTTTTTAATATATTACTCTACTTTATTGTCCATTTTTAATTTTTAATTCCTTAAATTTGTCGAATACTTCATTATAAATGTTAAAATATATTTTTATACATATAATAGATTTTTACATAAATATATAATTATTTTGTATTATTAGTAATATTATAATGATTCGTATGTATTGAACATTTCGTAAAATATATCATTATTGTAACTAGCCAATAAATATTCTAATCATATTCTTTAAGTTAATTAAATTTTTCTAAACTGAAGATAGTACAAGAATGATGCTGAATGTTTCTTATAGCAAAATTCCTTTTTAAAATACTTTTTAAAATTTTTACTTTAATTGTAATATTATATATATATATATATAATTATTTCATATAATTTAATGTTAAATTTTAATGTTCCATTTTTCTTATAAATTACTGCAATTATTCTTAGATGTAAAAATGTATATATTTTTTTATGTTTATTCTTAATTTATTTTATTGTTATTACTTATTATTTCTAAAATTCAAATATATTATTGTATATTTCAAGTATATAAAAATTTCTTGCTTGATATACTTTTATGTCAAAGAATCATAATTTTTGATAAATTAAATAATTAATTAAAATATTTTAAAGTCACTGTTAATGTAAATTAATTATACCTTATTTTTATCATCATATATCAAAAACAAAATCATAAATCCAATGTATTATAAAATATTTGATTTATTTATTTTATACTATATAAAAAACGTAAAAGTTAAGGAAAAAAGAAGAAATGAAACATAATTTATTGTACAGAGAAATCCTGTGAAATTATTAAGTTAGCAAATGATTATATGAATAATTGTCTATATAAATCCATATTATGAATTATATAAGGTTTATCATACCACAGATAAATAATTAAGCACAAATTAATAATAAACAGATTAAAAAAAATTAAATATTAAAGTAAGACATACTCTATTATTATTACATAGCTTGCGATAAATTTAAATTAGGAATAATATTCTTATAATAAGTTGAAAATTAAATACTTTATATTTATTTATAAAAAAAAAAACTTTCAAAAAATGCTTATATAAGCTTTGGTACATAAAGAGTACAAAACAAAAATTAATAAAATATTGAAAAATAAATTAAGTAATCTAAAATTTTAGAAAATTTTTATGTTTTTGATATTATTGTTATAATTTTATAACTATAAAATAATCAAAAGGGAACAAGTTTTAAGTATATAAGCATTTATTTTTTCCAACGATACGACATTTATAATAACTTATTATATTTAACTTATTTTATATTATAAATAACTTAATATTCGATAGCTTTTTAAAACATTAAAAAATTATGAAATAATATGAATATATAAACAAATTTCTATAATTATAGTACTTAATAAATATAACGCT